GGTTATGTTGAAGTTGACAGAAGTTACCATTTTTTACTAGAAAGCGATTACGTACTTTTCAATGTTACTCTCTCGCTCTGAGTGATTTTTTAAATTTTGACAGTTTTACTAGTCCGAGTCCGAGGAATACGGGATTGCACCTATTTTTTACTAGAAAGCGATTCCGTACTTTTCAATGTTAAGCTGATGCCACATAAAACTTTTGCTTCGCTTTACGTGACAGATTCGCTTTGACAGATAAGATGAATTGTATGAAAATGCACAAAGCATGACACATAAATCGTCGAAGCTGCAGCGCGAAGCGAAAAGATGGCCAACTCCCATCTTTTTGCGCGCTTTGACAATCAGCCAGTTTAATATTTATTTTGTTTCGTCCAAATTCGAGTTTTCATGCAGAAACATAAAACTTAATTACATTGCTGATAATTTTAAAGCAAAATATATGAAATCCACAGCAACTTTGACTAGTAAAAAAGCGGTACAAAATTGTTTTCTTGGCGTTCATTGTGGCATACCTTTTGCGTCTGGCGCTTTGCTGGCAAAGTTATAAATGTCACGCAAAGCTACAAAGTTTTATCTGGCATCAGCTTTACTCTCTCGCTCTGAGCGAATTTTTATTTTTTGAGTTTTACTAGTCCGAGTCCGAGGAATACGGGATTGCACCTTATATATACATATATTTTTACACATGCATGTGTAATATTTTTGCACATACATGTGTATGTAATGTTGCGTAACAAGCCAATTCAATTATTTGTTTTCTTTTGTTTTGTTAACTCCGTTAAATTAACCAATTTTAAGAATTAATACATGTATCTGTAATTTTTTTATGGGATCGGCATAAACCGATTAATCGGCATCGTAACTAAAAAGAAATTGAAATCGGACTCTGGTTGAAAGGCCATGTGGACCAGGCAAATGTTGCATTCAGCTAAGAGTTTATTGTAAAATCGCCCCATGTAAATTCGCTTCAAGCAAACACTATGTCGTCACCCTATTTCCCAATATTGCCCTTTTACTAGTACACAAAAAACCGGTTTTATAATTTGAAGACGAAATAGGCAACAGGGTGAAATGAAAAATACGAAAAAAAAAGGAGAGCAAATGAACAACACACACCCACACACACACCATCGTGAATCGTAACAAAGATTAGAAAATGAAATACGCAGTTTCAAATAAAGAAGTAATTACTACAATTAGTCCCTAAAGAAACTTTAAATACTAACTCGAATATTCACTTCGCTAACGTGTCAGTCCTTACCTTCTTGACTCCATCTGATATTTTTCTCAAAATCCACGAACAAATCAAGATGAGACTTTCTCTAAACCTACTTCAACGTCTGATATGCTGCACTAAAAGTTAAAATAGACAATTTTCCAATGCAAACCAGTAAAATTACTCATACAACCTTATCTAAGTTTTCTCTATACCTACAAAAATATATGTACGTACTTATTCGTCTACATACAGTGGCGGAAGAATAAATAGGGACGGGACAAACAGTTTTGACTACTTTTTCTCTCGTTTATTTATTGTTTAATAATTTTATTTTTGAAAAGTATAGCTCACTAACTAAAGAAACCCATGTAAGATCAATTTTCAAACTTAAATAAAAATTAGTGAAATTCAACAAAATGCCGATTTTTTTAAACATACATATTTGGTAAGCAGTTTTATGGCTAATTTAATTTTAGTATAATGAAGAGCAAGAGAGAAATGGGTAAAAATAAGTCGAAAAATAATCTCGGCTTTGTAGTAACTTCACACAATTGCACATCATTTTAGCAAGATTGTATGGGCAACCAATTTTTTCGGTTACGGAATACACAATTTTAATATACGCGTGTAGCCCAAGGATTAAACTTTAAATTAGACAAAGATTTCAAATTTCGGAGCAATAATTTATTGATAAATTCGGTTTGAAATAGTTTTGTCTTCTTCGCAAAAATACCACAATTCGATTAGAGAATGATTAGAAAAACATTAGACATTAGAAAACAATTAGAATTCAACGTTGGACCGCGATATCGAGAACTAAGGCCCCTTTTTGTACAGAATGCTATATTTCGCGACAGTTTCTCTAATTGTCTTCTAACCTTCTACCTTAAAGAAACGCATTGGAATTTGAATCGTTATCTAATCGTTCTCTAATCTAAATATTTGTAGGGAAGTTTGAGATTTTAATAAAACTGCAAAATTTTCAGTCTGAAATTTAAAACACTTTGTTTTCTAGATGAGCTATACTTATATATTATAAAGCATAATCACATTATCGTAGTTTACGACTCATTCGTTTCATTAGCAAATCATATTGAAGTCAAGTAATTTCGTCTTGTAGAATGTGAATAAATTATAGATGAGATAAATTATAAATCAAGAACCAAATGAAGAAACCTATTTATTTTATCCCCCACTGTTGAGGAAACTAAAAAAAAAATCCTAAAGTATGCAACCATTTTTATTAAATAGCAATGACGCACTCGCACCTACACGTGCCATTTAAATATATTTGTACTTAGCATTTCCGTCCCTATTACTTTACCCGCCACTGTATGTATATATTGGCAATTCTAGATACAGAAACGAGGTGGAAACCAAAATGGAGGTCAATCCAACACGAAAGCAACGCATGATTCATATTACTACATACATAGTTAATTTTTAAATGGTATTAATATTTATTTATATATATATACTTACATTTCGTCAGAATCAAAGTACAAAGATGAATTTGTAAAAGTTGTTTGATTGCTGGCTTTTTCCGTGGATTTTTGCTTTTCTGCAGGTGACGTCTCTGCTTCCACTAAATTTTTACTTGTGCTGTGAAAATGCCTGTGAAAGCTTCCGGAGCTGTTGAATATTCCACTAAAATTTTTTAAGAATGAATTCTTAAACTGCTTTAACTCCGATGTCACGTCTTTTCTGCTACCTGCTACCAGTTCGTGATGGGAAAAAGCAAAATTCACTAGTCTTCTGTTGGTTGAAGAGAAAAGAAAATGGCGTCGTAATATAGTACTCGTGGCCGAGTGGCTAATGGCGGCTGGCAAAATCAATGAATTTTTCACACACGCCACTGTGCCTAATTGGGACGGTGCTCGGCTTTGGCACGAGTGTTTTGCTAAACTTTGAACCAATATTTTGAACATTTTCACTGGTATTTAATTAAAAATCACTTGAAAGTATTTTTTTCACAATCACATTTATTGGTTGCAAAGCAGCAAGACTCGTGCAGACAAACCGATTACAAAATGCGTTCTTACCTAACCTCGTCCAAAAGTGGAATGACGCATAGCAAAATTTCAGTGGAAAATTTTAGTTCAGTGCTCTGCAGAGTTGCACTTTCACTCGTACGCACAGTTGCTCGGAGAACAAACGTCGGATATTATTGTGAATGCCCATTATGACCAACATAGAAGAAGAGCCCAAATGAGTTCAAAACTAAATAAAATGGCTAAACACCAACACAATTTGTTAACTTTACAACTAGGCGGTTATTTTTAGTTGTTTGTTTAAGCTCATATAAATACATCTTTTAAATACTGTGTTTATTCTTCTAAAATTAAGTAGCAGTTTTCAAGTGAGAAAACGCGTTCGCAAACCGATGTAATACAAATATTTGTTCATTGCTTGATAGAGGTATTCACACTGCGCTTGTTGCATTTTCGCACTGCTTCCGTACAAAGTATTTATTTATGTGTCTGCTCTTCCAGTTTTTTAAACCAAAATAATTTTAGTTACAAAATGAGAAACATCAAAAATTATAGTTCAGTCCTTTCCAACAGCAAAGGTATTGCGACGAGGTGGATCGGAAAACTCCGCCTTTACGACCGCCCAGAAAGCATTAACACCTAGATGAGCCCTAAAGTTTAAACGCTAATAGGAAACTAAGGCGCATATTCATAGTCATATTTAGTACTCAACTAAGTCGAAACTATTCTAAGTCACAACTAAAGCTATTCATAGTCGCCTTAGTTTCGACGTTTCTGGCTAAGTACCAACTTAAAGTTTAGTTTCGGCTGCAGCTGCAACTAAGTCGTAACTAGGAAGAAGTATTTTATCAAATTAAGGGAAAACAGACGGAATATGTAAAAATTAAGTTGGTAGAGGGTGATTTTGATAATATTGAATAATATCCAATTAAAATTTACAAAGATCGATCCATTTTAATCGGAAGATGAAATTAAATGCGTATCACAATTCGAATGAAGCTACGTCACAATTTTATAATTGGAATAATTTATATAAATTCTCAAATAATAAGTCAGTTTCACGATAGTCCTTTTAAAGTAAATTTGTGCATAACATTTAGATATCTACTATTTGTTTCACAGCATGCTTTCGATAAACATCGACTTCACATCACTGCGGTTGTTCTGGCTATTTCACACGATTAACATGCAATGAAAATAAAAATTACATAAACGGATGATCAAACTTGATATTATTTAATAAATAATAAAAATGTAATTTCTCCAAAATAGCGTAAAGAAAAATCGATACATTTTCACACTCGTTTTGCTATATCGTAAGCTAATGGGCTGTTTTTGCTTACGCGTAAATGTACATTTAGCGCATTTAGCTCTAAATGCTACTCTAAATGTATATTTATCCATACAAAATTCGTCATCTAAATGCAACTAAATGCAACTCAATCTTTGCATTTAGAATCTAAATGCTAAAAGCATCCCTGAGATCTTCCAAAATTTCCACGATTCGAACATGGTTTAATGAGAAAAAGTGGCAACATTGCTTTTTCGAGTATACAACCGCTAGCTGCGTTTCAGTGATCGCCGATCGAGATTTCATTTATTATTTTACATTTTTTGGATAAAGAAAAGTTACGCAAATTCAACATCGATATGATGCTGATAGAAATCTGGATTAATTTGTGATCAACTCTGTTTGTTTTGTTTCCTAATTAGGTGTGGAAAATATAATTGGCAGCACCGACAAATGAATATATACACAAACAAATGTTCGGTTATGGTTACAACAATTAAGGTTTTTGTATTGAATTTTCGGTTTAGAATTTATTTTTCCTTTTCAGTAGGGGTTTTTGCACATTATCTTTTCCGTGAGAATTTATCGTAATGGATACGGATCTGAATAAGCGACTGGAACACGGCTGTTTGTCAAAAGCATACGATTTCGAACTCGCGTAAATGTACATTTGCTAAATGCGATAGCATGAACGCTCTTCGAAAACATATGTTCGAAAGTGCTAAATGTTGCATTTTAAATGCAGCAAAAACGCTGCATAAGTCGAAACTACTTAGTAGAAGTCTGAAATGCGACTATGAATAGAGGTAAATTTTAAGTTGGTACTTAAATTTAAGTTGCAACTTTGTTAATTTCGACTTAGTTGCTGGACTATGAATACGCGCCTAAGTCTTTCCAACCAATGATACTGCATTGGCGAACTTGTTTCCTCAGTATGGCTGTAAACCAAGAATGATACGTGGCAAGTCGCCTTTCGAACGCGTCAAAACAGCTCCACCTAATATTAACGGCGTTAGTTTTTCTACGCACGCAAGCAAATTTTTCATATTTGATAAACCGAAATCAATTTGCAAGCGTGATTTCTCGGAGTTACATTTCTGTCAAATTTTCAGAAATTTGTTGAACAAAATTTTAATCCATAGTCGCGCCAAAATGTCAATTGAGCATAAAGCTGCCTTTACATGAGGCGATTTTTTGACGGGCAATAATCGCCTGCAAAAGTCGACTTGCGGTCTACTTTGATGCAAGCGATTTTTAATCACTATTTACACGAGCGATTTTTCTGAAGCAATGTTGAATCGCTTAGAAAATCGCCTCATGTAAATCCAGCTTAAAAGTGCAATCGAAATGTCACGCAAGACCGTCTGTGAATTTGAGTTACCGCAAAACTCCACAGGCAAACACCGATGGACTACCAACTGTCATTATGGCGAGCAATGTGATAGCAAGTTTTGTGTGTGTGGGCACTTTGATGTCTTGAAATAAGCATTTGCCGCATGACGCCACCAGACAATATTTTTATTTTATTATTTAAGATTTTAATTTTGATTTAATATGAAAATTTCATCGATGTTTCCCACAGCACGCTTTCTTTCAAATGAAATTATGGCTGTCAAACTATCGAATTGCCTGCAATAGATGTCAAGCAATAAGCGCTGACATATATTGCAGCACATGAGAAATAGGCGGTCTCCATTGGAACATGGTTATCACGACATCAGAGTGTTCCTGTGGAGACGGCCTTAAGGCCCCGCCAGATAGAAAATCTTTTCACGCTTTTGGCTGACAAAATGCACAGAACATGGCGAGACGGCACATGGACGGCACGATGACAACATTCGAACAAACGAACGCTGCGTAATCGGAACACAAAGTGGTGATTGACGTGTTTATTTAAACGTTTGCGGGCAAGACACGAGCCAACCTCACTCACACATGTGCGATGCTTCGCGTGTTTATTTGATTGTCTCCGTGGCGCTTGAGGTTCTTTGTTTTCTGTTTTTGTTTACAAATGAAACCCTGTCTGTCGTTTGACATTTGTCATGAACTTGCAGGAAAGAAACTTCAGATTAAAACCTGCAACTTCCGGCTGAGAGAGAGTGAAAGTGGCTCTCACCAAAGTTGTTTTGGCCCTGCAACGCTTCCCTGCAAAAAACCTGCAAATCATGAATATCGTGAGCACCCAAGAATGATAGAATACAAGATTGCGCCTATCAGAGAGGATTTTTGATAACTTTTGTGTGACGTCACACTGGTGCAATTGCGAGAGAGAAATGCCAAAACGTGAGCAAGAATGGAAGAAGAAGAAAAAATGGTGCAAGGAAAACGTAAACAAGTTTCACATGTGTGCAAATTCACTGAGAGAGGAATAGCGANGTGTGCAAATTCACTGAGAGAGGAATAGCGGTACCGTGATTGGCGCATCCTCTATTTCTCTCAATCGTGGTGAGCACCTAGAATTTTTAGAAAGAAATTAATACAACAAAAAGAGCAATCGCTTTATAAATTAGATGCATTTGTTTGTAAATGAGCAAAAAAAGAACTCTGAACTCATAAAAAATGCCTTTTAGCTGCTTAAGCAACCCTGTTGGTATCTGGCAAGAAACATGTGATTAGTTTAACGCGACTTATATACAAAAAGCGTTGGAAATGAGTAATTATGTCATGAACGAAAGACACAAGGTCACGCGCGAACGAAAGAAAGAAAAATNTTGGCGCATCCTCTATTTCTCTCAATCGTGGTGAGCACCTAGAATTTTTAGAAAGAAATTAATACAACAAAAAGAGCAATCGCTTTATAAATTAGATGCATTTGTTTGTAAATGAGCAAAAAAAGAACTCTGAACTCATAAAAAATGCCTTTTAGCTGCTTAAGCAACCCTGTTGGTATCTGGCAAGAAACATGTGATTAGTTTAACGCAACTTATATACAAAAAGCGTTGGAAATGAGTAATTATGTCATGAACGAAAGACACAAGGTCACGCGCGAACGAAAGAAAGAAAAATGTAATTTTCTAGCTGTCGAAATCTCGACGCCATCATTGTTGTAAGAAGTAAACAACGAAATACAAATTCTTCTATAACTCATGTCGTTGTGTAAAATTATTCTTATCTTCTTATCCTTATCCTTATGTACACACACGCTGTCACAAGCGAAAATAAAGAAAATTGCAGTAAAAGCCACCATCAAATTATAAGCAACGAGCAAATGTAAACATCGGCTAATGTCAAAATTGCCCAACTTTTTTCCTAAATGCGATTATAACGGGCGACTGGCTTGCTGGCGTGATCTTGTATTTTTGGTCCATGTAATTATGTAAGCTATTTGCTTAATATACACATATATACATATTTAAAATATAAATCATTTATATAAGGAAACAAAAATTTCCCTCTCCACTTTCCCATTAACAATTCACAATCGACACTTAGGGCCAGTTTTTCAGTGCACGGCCGTGGTTTAAACTCAGTTTAAACGCCGGATCTGGCTGGTTTGAAATAAGATCAGCCAATCAAATGTCAGCAAGCTGTTCAATTTAAACTCAGTTTACTTAATCTAAGTTTAAACGGGCACTGAAAAACTGGCCCTTAACGGCACTACCCTTCAGGTCGCGTATTTTTTAACCGACTTGGCTGA